CCTGGTTTCAATTCCTGGCCAACCCAAGAAATGATTAGTAAACCAATCACATATTTCCATGGGAATCAGGGAGCACTTCCCTCTCTTGATACTAGAAAGCCTGCCTCCCCCAGCCCCTGCTCATACACTCTGCTCTTGAATGCATCTTCTATGTGCCCTGCGTGGCATATGGTGTCCCCTTCTCCCATGCTGAGAGTATTAAATGGCTATCACACTTCTCTGTCCTGTACCAGGCATCATGTAGCCTGTATTTGACTAACTCTACAACCCTAGGTCAGGACTCTTTCATTCACCAAGAGAAGAACTAAACAAATGGTGGAGTTAAACTCAAACCTGGGCAGTTCTGGCTGCAGATCTATGCTCTTGACTAAAAGAATGAGTGAACGATTGCGACACGGGGCAAGTGAAGGTAGGTGGTCCTTTAGATGCCTATCTTTCCTGCTGGTCTGCTCAGCCTGAGGAGAAGGGCCGTGGGCCTAGGAAATTACATGTGTTGATCAATGTGTTATTTGATGTGAGTTACATAATCTCCTGTCAACTTGAGCGAAGGGGTGGAGTCTAGCCTGTCAATCAGGTCATAGCCAGTGGGGTCTCTGTGTAGGCATGGATTTCTCCTGAGGATTCTGGAAACTCCTGTCTTCCTCCCTGGAGGCCGGTCACACACACTGTCTGCATTCCCTTTCCTGCTGCTGAGACACTCAGAGAGCTGGAGAAGGCAGGTGGAGACCTGCGCCAGCGTTGAGATGCTTCCACTGCCAATGGATCCACAAGACCTTCTACTCACAGGCCTGTGATCTTCCTGCCTTGGGCATCACTGCATGTGTTGCATGAATCTGGAGAGGAATTTATAGACTGGTATTGGACATATGGGGTAATATTGGACTTATGGATTCATCTGGACTGGGTTGGGATGTTTTCTTAATATACAATTACTCTTCGATATAAAACACTCTTACACACATATGAGTGTCTCTGGATTTGTTTCTCTAGTCAACCTGAACTAGCACACTTGATCTTGTTAAACCAACTGCCTAGTTCTGCTTTCCCTTAAATCCATTGTTCTCTGTTGTCAGTAGTTGTGTGGCATAATATGTAGTGTTTGGATAGTGGTGAGACGTACAACCAGACCTCCTTCATTATGGAGATTCCAAGATGATGTGATTTTAACACTTTCCAGGATGACCTTTTGCTGAGAAGTGGTCCTGACTGGGGAATCCCTCCCAGTCTGGGACAGATGGCTTCTGCATATGGTCCTAACTGAAAGGCTGTCATTTCAAGTCCACCCAGAGGTGCTTCAGAAGAAAGATCTGGCATTCTATTTCTGAAAAACCAACTATTGAAAACCTTATGGAGCACAGCTCTACTCTGAGACACATGGCCACCATGAGTTGAAACTGAGTCCCCAGAATCTGGTCCCAGTGGACCTCCCAGGAACAGTGGTTCTTCCCAGCATGTGCGCAGCCCAGAGAATGAAGTACTTGGATACCCATTTAGATTCCCCCAAACAGTGCTCCTTGCTTTCTTTCTAGTCCTTTTAACATGAGTTCATTTCTTCTTCAAGGAATCTCCATCCGCTATAGTGGGGCATATTGAGCCCTTGCTCTACCACTTATAAATAGGTTATTGCGGGTCAGAGACATGTCTGACATCACTAGCACAGCAAGGTTCAGAGTTCATTCTTCCCTGTTCTGAAAAACTGAAGCAGGAAAAGGAAACTGAGTCAAAGAATCATGTAGCCCCATCTGTCCTTGACTCCATCCCTTTAAATTCTTTCTTTATCTACTCTACATGCACCTACAGAGTTTATGCTACTCAATCACCAACAGTTTAAAATGAAAATAGTAGTACTGCTGTATTAATGACTAAGTCTCCTGTTTGTTATTTCTCTCCTTGAGACAAATTGAATCCCTTCATTTCTTCCCACCCTCAAGTGAGAGTAACTTTAGAACTAGATTATCAAGTGAGTGAGCGTGATAAACAGGGCTTCCACCTCCCATTCCAGTGTTTTCCTCATTAATCTCTCCCATTTCTGTCTCCTCTCCTTCTTTTCCCAGGCCAGAATGTCCCCAAGAACCATTTCTTTACATTATGCTGTGCTAGACCTAATTGTGCTAGATGATAGGGCATTCTGAAAATGGGTGTGTGTCTGAGATGATAGAAACTAGACTTTAGCCCTAGTGATAACAAATTGATCCTGTGCAAAGTGCCTGCACCTCGCAAACTAAGGAGATGGACTGTTGCAGGAATGGGGGGGGGGGGATCATTGACCAATCAGGTGTTAGTGGCTGCCTAGAAAATTGTCATCAGCAGTTTGGAGCTGGAATGAATCTACAGAGTTCTGTAACTCCGAACTGCTGGGAATCTAAGCTTTTCTATACCCATTTTATTTTCCCCTCCCAGGATTGATTAGGCTGAGTTTCCTTTAGGGAATCATCCCCCTCCCCGTGCCAACTATCTCTCAGGAACTCTTGGACAAGTTTGTGATGGGGCACCAAAAGTTAATAAAAGCCTAAAGGCCACCACCATCATGCTGCATGGCTTGGGTAAGTCATTCCAATTGGATCGCCGTGAAATGAGGGAAGAGGGTGGTGATGGTGGCTGAGATGTCTCGCAGTCATTAGCATCTATAGCCCTGTTATTCTGGATCCTACTGCCTTGAAGATCCATGCCTTACAGTGGATACAGAGGGTTTTGAAAATTATCATTTCCTTCACTTTCCTCCTTTGTCCTCCTCATCTCCATACTTCTTCTCTTTCTTATTTGCGCTTGGGAAGGTGGTGGGCTTCCTCTAGGCCTTGAATCTCATGCCATACCCCTTCTCCTCCCTGTCCTTGCCCATGCCAATGGACCAGGCTGGTCTAGAACAGGGAATTTAATGGATCAATCAAGGATACATTTTGGGGAAAGACCATGAGAGGGGCTGAGAGGGAAGGGACATGGGTGTGCTCTGAAGAGCAAGGCAAAAGTGAATGAGGACAGGAGAGAAGGATGGGCAAAGAGCCTGTGCATGGACGGTTCACAAGGGGCAGAGCGTGTGCCTGGGTTGTGAGATATCTGGGTTTTGGCACTATATTGATATTAGGAATGAATCCCTTGGGGCTCAGTTTTCTTATGTTTTATAATTAGAAGGAAAATGGAGCAAGTTGATTCATTAGGGCCTTTCTAACTGAATTCCAGGTTTCCAAAATTTCCTACATTGCCCTTATAGACATCAGTGCCCTCAATATGTAAGGCGATGTGGACCAGGAGGGCTTGTGTAGAACAGCATGCCCCAGGGATCATTTTGTCTCCTGAAGAGAACTCTTTCAAACCCAGCAGCCCAGAGAAGACCTCGGCTGATTCTGACTGGAACCTGGAAGCTATCATGAATATACACATCCTGCTTGTCCTAGTGGGTTTCAATGAAAATTCCATCATATGGATGGATATTTGTTATATAATTCTCTGCCATGTTCTGTATTCATTTTTTTTTTTACCATTTAAAATTGCTTTTCTAGAGAAATAACATAAACTCCACAGGAACAGGGAGTATTTTCTAGATTTTCAGGATCTTTAAGTTGAAAGTGATCTTAAGAAGTATACATATTTCCAAGAATGGGAATGTTTTCCTATCCTGCCACCATCAAAAGTAGGCTCCCATACCTGCTCGTGATGCTGCCCTTGGAGATAAATTACAAAACAAATCACAGAGTGACATGATCTCTTTGTGGAGTAGGCTCTCCTGCCACAGTGTCCAGAGCGTTCTCTAGGTGAAGCCACTAGGCCTAGGACTGATTCCAGCTCAGCCGCCTGCAGCTTAACCCTAACTTCAGCTTCTCAGGGAGTGAGACAGGTAAAGCCATGGACATTTTTGGAGTCATAAAGATCCTGCTTTAAGTCTCACTTTCACTGTTTCCTAGCACGGTGGCTTTGGGCAAAGTGCCCCAGCTGTCCCTGCCACCGCTACAAAAACCACACGGATGATGAGTCCACCTTACATTGTTGTTCGGTGCCGTCAAGTTTGTTCCAACAAACAGCAGCCCTGTGGACATGAGGAGGAAGTACTGCCCAATCTGTGCCATCCTCACCGTGTGGTTATGTTCGAACCCATTGGGGCAGCCACTGGGTCAGTCCTTCGTGTCAAGGGTCTTCTTCTTTTTCACTGCCCCTCTATTTTGATCAAGCACAATGTCCTTTCCAGGGACTGGTCTTTCTTGAGAACATATCCAAAGTACATGAGATGAAGTCGAGCCAGCTTTGCTTCTAAGGAGCATTCTGGCTGTCCATATTCCAATGCTAATGTTTTTTTCTTCCTTTGACAGGCCATGATAGTTTCAGGATTCTTTGCCAGCACCATAATTCAAATCTTGTCCAAACTTATAGGACAGGGGTTTCCTCGGCTGTAATTTGTACAGGAGCACATTGTCAGATTTTCTCTGTCTCTCTCTCTCTAACAGAGCTGCTGGCTGGACTTCAACCACCAACCTTCTGATTCCCAGCTAAGTGCTTAACCACTGTGCTACCAAGTTTCCTTTGAGCCACTCATCTATAAAAGACCAGGGATAATCTTGCCCACCCCCCACGCCCCGGCCCTCCGGTCTCCCGCCAGAGAATTCATAGGTATGTGTACTAACACATGTTCTCCAATTGCCTGCCCTCCAATAAGGTGTGAGTAGTTATGGGGCAGAAACTGTTTCTCAGTTAGATGCTACTCCCTGTTCTGTGCCTAACGTATTGTCTTGGCTATTCAAAAAATGAGAGAAAAAGAAAATAAAAGTTGAAATAGAGACCCCCAGAATGAAGAGCAGAGCTCTGTGCTCATGTCTTTCAGCAGGGCCCGCTACCAAACCAGCCAGCAAACCTCAGCTGGCTTCTGTCCTCCTAACAGACTTGCTCTGGGCACGCCTCAGGTCCCCAAAAAGCAAAACAAACCCGAACACACAGGTGTGTCTTCAAACACAGGAATAGAAATGTAAACCTTTTTTTGCTCCCTTCTTCATGGGCGGCTAGTAAAACGGAAGTTACCCTAACTCTTGGCTCCGGAGGAGGAGGATGGCTGTGGATATCAACTCATGGGAGCAGATGTTTCAAACCTTGATGCAGCAGGAAGAACCTGGGGACAGATGGACTTTGAGGTTGGATGAGATGATTCAGCCAGACCAAGTGGCCAAAGGGTGGAAGCAATACGAGCAGAAAGCCTTTGGCAGGTGAGTAAGTGTTTACCAAGCCATAAACCTTCCTGAGCTGAGAGGCTTGTCTTCCCGAACCAACTCGTGGCAGTCAAGTTGACTCTCGAGGTGACCCAGGTTATGTTCGAATAGAATTGTACGTCATAGGGTTTTCAGTCGTTGATTTTTCAGAAGTAGATCAGCAGGTCTGCCATCACAGGAGCCTCTGGGTGGAATCAAGCTACTACGGATGTTCCATTGCTCGGCAAGCATGTTAACCATTTGCACCAGCCAAGGACTGCTTTGAGAGCTTGTGAAAAGAATACACGAGTATGGATTGTTAGAAGAGCTATAAGAGCCCCTGATACAGTGATCAGGGGGCGAAAAGAATAAAAGACACCAGGCTCTCCATTTTTCTGTTGTCAGAAGGGCCTTTAGGGTCTGATCGTTGAAACTTCTATCCTCCAACTCACTAACTAAATGACTTAACTTGATTTTGTTGGCTGCCCCATCTTGCCCCAGGTACTCTTTGCTCCAGCCCCTATGGCTTGTTTAACGATGCTTGCACTTCCAAATTCTTGTTCAACCCACCTGGTTAGCAGGTGCCCTTCTGCCTCTCCTTGTTTTTCAAGGAGAAATTCAAGTGCCGTTCCTTCTTAAAACATGGCCTGCCTGAATTTCCTGGTCAGAAGTAAGTGTTCCTCTATACTCACATAAGACAATGGTGTTAAATACATATACATACACTTGTCATTGTTGTTAATTGCTATCCGGTCCATTCCCAAACATGACAACCCCTTGTGTGCACAGTACAGTCGCTCCATAGGATGTTCATGGTGAGGACCACTCAGAAGCAGATCATGGAGCTTTTCTTCCCAGCTGCCTCTGGGTGGGTTTGGCTAATAGTTTAATGCTTATCGGTTTGCACCCCCAAGTACTTCTTTCTATATACTTCTATCTCTTAAAATAACATAATAATGAGTAATATAGTTGTGTATCATATTGCAAAAATGTGATCTCCCTTGGCTACACAAGGCAGAGGGAGAATCCATCTCCACACAAACGGAAGACTAATTGCCTAAGTCAGATAGGCCCCCCTCCGCCATCCTCTCTTTATCCTATTCTGATATCAATCCTTCCTCCCACGGCACTCTACTTCTCTTCTGGGTCCAATAATTCATTGCAGTGGCCACCCAGAACTCAGACAATACTCAGATTAGTGATTACGAGTTGGCCTGCTAACTGCAAGGCCAGCAGTTCAAAACCACCAGTTTATCTTTCAGAGAAAGATGGGGCTTTCCACTCTCATGAAGAGCTCTAGTCTCAAATACTCACAGAGGCAGCTCGACCCTGCCTTATAGGGCCACTGTGAGTTGGTATTGCCTTGATGGCAGTGAGTCTGAAGGTTTTATTTATTGATAGTTCTCTCTCTTATTTTAAAAGTTTTATTCCATTTCCCCCCCCAAATCATTGTATTGGGAACTAATACAGATATCATTCCACAGTTCAATCACATCAAGCAGTAGTGTGCAATTGCTACCACCATCAGTTTCAAAACATTCTCTTCCTTCTTGAACTGTTGTTACCAGCTCCCCTTTACCCACTCCTCCCCCCACCATACCTGGAGGGTTTTAAAAAAATGATGATTATTATTGTTAGGGAAGTTGACAGGTTACCACAAGCTAGGGTCAAAAAAGCCAAGACTACTTTAAAGGTAAAATCTTTTGTCCACAGCAATGCTTCTTTTTAGCCAGCAGCCTCTCCCTCGGGGCCTCAGCCTCTCAGTCATGTGACCCCTTGACCTCTGCCACTGCACCAGGAAGTCAGCCCGATGCTCTGCCTCAGAGTCTCAGTCTCAGTGCTGCTCCTCGGCTTTGGCTCCTGGTCTCCTGGCCTTGGCCTCTGGTCTTGGTGTGACATTACCTCTGCTGATTCCACCATGTTAGGCAAGAGGGATCTCAAACATGAATTCTGTCTGTTCCTAAGACGGTTCTTAAACACTGAGCAATGGCTTTGATGTTGTCGTTCAGCAAACCGTATCCCCAAGGAAATAACGGATGGTGAGTTACTTCACATCTCTAGCGAGGCTGAGGCTCAGGATACATTCCACCTTAATCCCGTCCATTAGCATCACTGAGAATTCCCCTCAAATGAGATTATATCATAGCCATAGGGACTATAATGTATAATTAAATTGTAACATCAGAGATTATGGCTAGAAAGACTTTATTAATGACTTCATCTCATATATTGTATAATATATGTAGATATATACACATCTATATATAATGAGATGAAGTCAATTAATGTATATAAAGGAGCCCTCCCTAGTGGTATAGTGATTAAAGTGCTTAGCTGTTAGACAGGAAGGTCAAAGATGAGGTATCCGCTCCTGTAAACATCACAGCCTTAGAAACCCTATGGGACACTTCTACCCTGTCCTATGGGATCACTATGTGTTGGAATCACCGGCATTAGGCGGCATTAGATTGGGATTTTCTGAGGTACAGATATTTTAGTGGCAGTGCCTGCTCTTTCAGTGAGGCCTCCCAGGACTCCACAGAGCATGGCTTTCCAGCTCCTTGGCGAGCCCTTGGGGCAGTCACTTTGTATGACTTGGTGATCCAGTGAGCTATGTAAGTCTTTCTGTGTCAGCCAGAGTTATGTGAGGGGCGCATGATGACTTCATTTTGATACTCCCCAAGCAGGAAGAGTCCTCTCCTGTTTAGATAAACCACTCGTCATTCTGATAGCAGAAAAGCCACCTACCAGCACCCTTTGAGAAAAATATCAACCAACTTTTAAAAAGCGTCTGTAGTTTACAATATATTTTCACGTTTCTTATTGGATCTTTACTACGTAACCCTTGAGAAGCTTTATTTTATGAATGGAGGCTTAGAGAAGACCCCCTGATACGAACTGTGCATTTGAGTCTCTAACCCAGTGTCACGGCTTCAGGTTCTAGCTGGCTTCCCTAGTGGGAAAACTAGCCATGTTGTTCGTTAGAGGGGATACGGTAGAGAAGCCACTGGATTAAATACATGCCTCTAAAACGCAGAACAAGTCTTTAATCCCTTTATGACTCAGTTTCCTTGTCCATCTATTGGGCTCCATTGACCTTCTCTAAACCTCAATTCATAAAAGAAAAACTACTCAATGGTTATATTATCAACAGAGGGCTGCTTTAAGGGTAAAATGGTACAATGCTGCTGAGCACCAATGATAGTATCTGCCTCAAGATAGAGACTTTTTGAGAATTTTCTGTGATTCTTACGAGGAACATATTTCAGAGAGGCTGTTTCCATCTGAGGCATCCGGACATTGTTCACTAGCAAAGAGACACACTTGATGGTGACTTATGGCTCAGTGGGCCATGGGAAAACATTATATGAGAAACTCAATTGATCACTTTTCGTCAGTGTTTGCAACACTCTGAATCACAGAATCCTGATTTTTTCCCTAATTGACAGAGATCTAAGAGAAGAGATCCTCTGGTCAACAAGCAGCAGAGAACATAACGCTGTCTTCCTTCTGTCTGCAGGTTCCAGTGTTCCTCCTGCCATCGATCATGGGCTTCTGCCAAAGTGCAGGTCCTCTGTCACATGACCTGGAACCTCCGGACGTCCCAGGGGCAGGTGCTAATGCGATTCTTTGCTCAGAGGTGTCAAAAGTGTCAACTGTCCCAATTTGAGAAGCCCACGTTCTCTTCTGAGAGCACCAGTACAATTCTGAACAACTTGGTGCAGCGTATTCTGGAGAGATTCTATGGAGAGGACCCCGGGACAGTTTGGGAGATCCCGGTGGTGGCAGAAGTGCCGTTGAAAGGGTCTCACGACACAGCCAATTGCGAAGCATGTGTCCTCGGCTTCTGTAAACATGGCTTACAAGATCCACTCACTTCATTCTCCTACCTGGAGATTGGGAATCTCTTGCCTCCTGTGGGTGATGTGTTGGTCCAAAATAGAGCCACGCAGGAGTCACCTGAAGTAAGAGCGCATATGTCAGAGCCCAGCCATGCCACTGCTGGAACTCAAGGGTATGAGGTAACCCCTCAGACCACATCTGGGGCAGGCCCAAGAGCCACACGCAGGGCCGGGACCTCTAATGCATCTCAGGCTGAGTGGTCTGCCACAGCAGCATTGGCCTTTTGTGAGTCCGGGCATAGAATGGCTTCTGGAAATCGCAGAGCCCCTGCCTTTCCACCACCAAACCACAGCTCTCACCAGAAACAGTGGTTTGGGTGGGGCTCTGTGTGTGTTGTGGCTGTCTGCCTTTATTTTGCTGCTAGATACTTTACTAGTAAAGTAAGTCGGTGAAAACAATTGTTTCATTTTCTCTGGTTTTAATTCAATGGTGATGAGAAATCAATGAACTGGGTGCCATTTGATAGGAGAGAATTTTTGACCCAACAAGTTCAACTTTTTAGAATAAGGACTGATTTCCTGAATCTTTTCTGAAGAGATGATCCAATACATGATGAACTTCCAATACCTATGCATTAAAGCACAACAAGATCTTCATTCGTTCACCCACTCGCTCATTAAGTCCTATCTTGATAATGACTGAGAGGCATTAGTATTACCTGAATGTTATTATGATGAACTATATAATGACTCCCAAATAGGTCCATGTCCTAATTCCTAGAATCTGTGGCTATGTTAATTTACATGGCAAAATGGATTTTTCTATGGATGGAATTGGATGATTGATTTAAGCGATGGAACATTATCCTGGATTACCCTGGTGGGCCCAATATCATTAAAATAGTCTCCATAAGAGGGAAGTCAGGATATCAACGTCAGAATAAAGTGAGATATGATGACAGGACCAAAGGATGCAATGATATGCTTTGAAGAGAGAGGAAGAGGCCACAAACTAAGGAGTGCAAACACCCATCTAGAAATCGGGAAAGATAAGGAAATGATCCCTTTCTTGAGCTTCCCTAAGATTTCAGTTCTGTTTACACCTGACTTTCATCCCGTGAAACTGATTTGGATATCTGACCTCCAGAAATCAAAGATAATAAATCTGTGTTGTTTTAAGGAACTAAGTTTGTGGTGATTTTGTGATACCAGCTATAGGAAATTACTATCGCTGAAGTTGTAGGCCATTCGAGTGGCACCACATTTAAAAAATATTGTATCTCTGGAGGATAATGGAGTATAGAACAGAAATAGTGGGCATATGGATTCAATTAAGGCAGCCAGGTACACAGAGAGAGACTCCTATAGATAATGTAAATATCTCCAAAGGATTTGAAGATAATGAAATTATATTTCAGATAATTACCTTATCTCCTTTTTTTTCCTGGCCATCTCTTGCCACTTCCAACAAAACTGTCCGCTTATGCATACACACACTCCCCAACCCCCCCCACCCCCAGACACAACCACCAAACCAACCTAGAATTTTCTGTATTCTTCCTTTTTCATAGCTTTTTGGTTAGTTAACAAAGAATATTGACCCAGGGATCTGGAGACTGTCTTTTTACTCTGTGATTCTGCTCCACAATCTAGGGCAAGCCACTATATCTCCCTAGGCCTTAGTTTCTCCATCCGCAAAATAGATTAAGATCTTCTAATTAAACAGAGAGGATTAAAAACTTACATTTACCTCTGCTATCCTTTGAAGCCGCATGGAATGACAGTAAGGGGGGAAATGACATCAACACACAAGGGCAACAAGAAAGGTGGAAGCTAGAAAACTGATTGGAGATAGGTAACTGACTTAAAAGAGTTCAAGAGCTCTGGAGGAGAAGGTAGCCATAGGGAACCCAATTTATGTGCCACAATGCCAGAAAGGAAATTGAAGGCAAGAAGTAACTTGGAAGGTGGTTTCTGGGAAGGATGAAGTAGGAACATCGACTGAAATCCTTTATTACAAGCTTCTTTCCTTTGCATCCATACAACCTGGTAACAGCTCTTCACTAACTTCTGGACAAGGAATAGAAGTTGATTCTCTGAAGACCTTGAACCAGATTGACTCTGGACTCATAGAGATCCAAATACTGAGGAAATGGATGCCATCCAGCAATTAAGGTGATAATAAAACTTTGCACATTTAATAATGGGACTCTTGGCTATTGGCCTACTTATGTTCTATGTTCCCACCCCTCAAATACACAAAGATATAAGAATTCTTCTCCCCCAAACAACAACAATAAAAAATTTCAAACAATAACAATAAAACTTCCTTAACAACTCACTACCATCTAGTGGATTCTGACTCATATCAAAGCTATAAGACAGCGTAGAACTTCCCCTTTGGGTCTCTGAGACTTTATCTTTATGAGCGTGACTGGTGAATATATATAATGTCAACTTGCACCTGTGTGAATGTTCAGGGGTGCAACCTATCAATCAGGTCACACCCTGATTATGCCTCTTTGGGGTGTGGCCTTTTTATAAAAGACACTGGAAATTCCTCTCTTGCCCCTCACCTTTCTCCCCACTGGGACTCTGTGTCTGCCTCCAGGGGCTGCCCCATGTGGGCTGCTGACCTGACAATCTGCTGGTTCCCCGCCATGTTTCCACTGAACTCTTCCCCACCAGCCTGTAATCTCCCTGATGCCTGGTTCACATTTCTGCATCCCTGGCTTATAGCTCCATGTGTCTGAAGAGGCCCCCGGCTAACATTCGTCCCATGGACTAGTTGGACTGGGCTGGGATTCCTTGTTGATATAAAGTTCTTTCATATATATATATATCACTGGGATGCCTTGTTGATATAAAGCTCTTTCATATATATATATATATATCTCACTGGGATGCCTTGTTGATATAAAATTACTTGTTGATATAAAGTTCTTTCATATATATTAGTGTCACTGGTTTTGTTTCCCTAGACAACCCAGCCTAAGCCCAGATCCTCATCCTTGAGGACTCTAAGCCCTTGGTCACAAGCCATTCTTAGGCTATAATTTCAGTACTTTTTCATCTGTTCTTAAAATTGAACAGAGAACTTCCAAAAAAGGACCCAGTGGGTGACTTGGGTGTCACACATACTCTTCCATCCCTATTGTGTGCCAGTAGTTCTATCTACTTTTGAGGACCAGTATAGTATGGTGGCTCTTTTTCTTGTCTGCTGCTTGCTTGGCAAAGACTATCCATCACTAGTAATGAGATCATTGCTGTGTCCCTTAATGGAAGAATCCTTCATCTAGATCTGTAGGCCTGCAGAATCTTGATTTGTGGCAACGGGAAGCACAACATGGCACCTTGACTTAGTGTGTGATGGCAAATAGGGCCACGACTACTTTGAAACCTGGGTTTCCAGATTTGGATATTCTATCTATTAAAGCTGAGGCCGTCTCTTCCAGGAAAAGCTTCCATAACTTTAGAAGCCCTACCAAGTTCACGGTGAAGTGGCTTCAACTGGATGGCAGTGGTCGGAGCTGCAGCATTGTGCGGTCTTTGATTTAGTGTTTATGCTGCATCCTATTTTCAAGACTCTATCTCCGAGCTGACATCACAGCTGCAGCTTAAAGAAACTCTTTTATTACTCTTTCAGGATGGCAGCTTCTGAGTGATGCCATGTTTGTTAGGACCCGGGAATTCCTTGGTTATATCTCCATTGCTATAACTCCTTTGGTAGACAATGCTTCCCCTTGGTGTAGTTGGATGTTATGTGGGATCCTGCGACAGCATGTGGGAAAGTGGTGTTGGTGGAGGCTCTGAAGGCAAAACATTGAGGCCCCTTCCTTTTCAAATATGCAATAAGCCAACCCTTTACTACTATCAGCTCTCCCTCCCACCCCAATCCATTTTCCAGTAAGTTGAAGAATATGCTTGAAAAGCAAGGCACAACAGAACCCAAAACCACAAAGGGAATAGTCCAATATAGTAAAGGCATGGAGCCCAATAAGTCGAGGCTCCAACACAGAAGAGTGAGGGGAGTTTCCAGACTGCTGGAGAACTTCCCGCTCCGACCACCCTCGGTAGCTCATTAGAGAACCACCTGCCACACTGGAGCCGCTGGGAGAAGACTCCAAGAGGGGATGCCTCCAGGGGAAAACCAAGGAAACTGAGAAGCTAGCTCGTGCAGTTGGATATCAGGAGAGATTAACCCTTCCAACAGACCTTGGGAATGAATTAGATAAGAATAGGAAAACACATTGAAAACCAAGAAGTTATTAACTGTAGGGAAAACAAAAATTTGCACAGGAAAATAACATTGCACTATGAATAACAGTCAAACAGAAATAATATTGTGACTGCATGTTGGTTTGATTTTAAAGTATCAGGGAAAAACAGTTGTGGGGAAGTTTAACAAGTCTGGACAATGGCTGAGGAATATAAGAGAACTTAATTTTGAAAACGTCACAGAGGCCACATCTGATCTCTGGCCACACAATGAAGACGGACAATCTAGCTCCATAGCAGCTTAAGGCCAATGGCCGCAAGACAGAGCATCCGATACACCTCTATCCTCCATATTTCTTTACCCTATTCTGACCCCAACCAGTCGTCTTGCAACATTCTACTTTGGGGCTGGTTGCAATGATGATATGGAAGTCACAGGAAACACTCACAATTAGAGGGGTTACCAGGAAAATTAACAGATGACCACAAGCGAGGGTCAGAAAACATTAAGGAAACCATTGGTCCTCAGGCATCACCTCTCTTCAGCCAGCAGCCAAGTCTCTCTGCAGCTCAGCCTCATAACCACCTTGTCTCTTAACCACCGCCTCTGCTGTGCCTCATCATCTCATAGTCCTGGTGCTGCTCCTCCGCCTTTTCCCATGGTCTACTTGCCCCAGCCGCTGGTCTCAGTGTGGTATGGGCTCTGCTGCCTACACATTTCCAGTATGGATTTCCAATGTGCTCTCCTGGTGCCTCTTCTTTTTTGGTGGTCCTGGGAATGAACTCTTCTGAGAGTGCCTGCTTCTGAGATGGCACTCTTATACATACATGACTAACCTGGCCAACCCCCTCTACTTGTGCTTCACAATTTGGCCCTATTTATATGGTCCTAATGCAATTATTTCATGGGGGAGTTACAGACATAGATGGAAGAGCCATATAAGAAATCACCACCACATTTGCTTATGCACCCACTTTGTCTTCAGCGATCATGTCAGGAAAGTGAGCATCACGGAATGCCAGGTTAATAGAACAAAGTGTTCTTGCATTGACAAAGTACTTCAGTGGAGGCCCAATGTCCTTAATACTAAACCTATAAATATATGTACATTTATCTATAATGTACATTTTGTCATATGCAAGTATATTTTCATATGTACATGCCTGTATTTAGCCTTCTATAAATGCCCTTTGCCTCCTAGCTATTTCCTCTATTTCCTTTTACTTTCCTCTTGTCCCACTATCATGTTCAGCCTTCATTTGTGGTGAAGAAAGCTAATGGGGCTTCGCTATCCAAAGATATAGCGTCTGGGGT